TTACATAATAATGAGAACGCTAATTAGCAAAACTTTCGAGCTGAACATTAATAAATCATTCGTAAGCGTTAATAGATGAGTAATCACCAAAGCTGTATTTATAGTGATATCTAATAGCAGAAATTGAAAAACCATATAAAACACTGTTTAATATGTATTATTTAAATCATATAAGCTAATCGCACTGAAATAACGTGTGTTTATATGTGACAACGTAACTTAAGTTATATATAAATATAATCAACTGAAATGCTGCAATATCTTAACATTTAACTTTTAATGATTTAACTAATGATAGTGAAGCGATTTACATTATAATAAAAAGAAACTAGCGCGACAAAATATTTAACTAAATTCGGATTGTGCATTTACGAAATTAAAATTGTATGTGCGATGCTTTCATGGTTTTTAAAAATTTCTCCTTTACAAAATGTCCGGTGCAACTCAAAAATACCGCTCGAGTCGATAATCATTATTACACGTGTTAAGACTACAAACTAGCAACAAGAAACTCTAACTTCGAAAATTGTTTTTGCAAAATTGTATTATTACGTACGTCATGCGACATGGCAGAAACCGAAATATTTCTGCATTTGATTACAAAATGCATCCATCATTCACGAAATATCGTTCTATATACAAGCTAGAAGTACATAAACAAGGTTGTAGTTAAACTGTGATAAAAAGTAATCGTCTTATTTAGTACTCTAAAGGCCACGTTATTTCATACACTTTAAATTATCTTTAAAATTCTTACGGTACTGCAAACACACATTGCAATTATAGAATCTCCTTCCTTTCTCTCTTCCTTTTATTACGCGATCACAAGATTGTGTCTGACCTACAACAACTATTTTATATTAAAAAGTAAGAAAAGAAAGAGATACCACACCTTCCTAAATTGATGAATCTGTAATCTTTTATAACTAGATTAAAAGATCATGTTGTTACATGCTTCGCTGATATCCGAACTGATAGAAATTCAATTTTGATACTTAATATATAATACAAACGTTATAAAGTTACAACGTTATACGTTGAGTGCGGTTGAACGTGAGAGTGAGTTTGTCGATCATCTCTCCGGCGTTCTTGGTGGCGTTGTCCATGGCCGTCATACGGCTGGACTGCTCACTGCAGGCGCCTTCCTTCATCGAGGCGAGCGAGAATTCCAGATAGCTCTATATTACTTCCTCGTCAAGTGAATCATACACCGACAACTTCGGTACAGTAACCACCGCATTCTTATCGAACAATGGTAGATCATCAATCACGTACGATACCACGGACTTGAACTTGTTATATACTATGCGTCCAGAGCCAAAGGAATAACTGTAAAAGAGTAGCCATTATTTATACGACGTTTAAAAAAAATCTACAACTTATATATTCAAAAGAATTTATAGTGAAAAAATTTATAGTGAATAATCTCAGCTAATACTGCAAATGAACTATTTAAATTGTATAATTAGTTGCGTTGTGCTATCTGGGATACCTTTAATTTTTCTTCAAGACATCAATTAACTGACCCATGCGAGCATCCATAGACTCGATACTCTTCCGTGCAATTTCAAGTTGCTCCTCGCGCTGTTTCTGCTTCTCGGCATCAGTGGTTCTTCGATATTCCATCGACTCCACCCTCCACTCTCTAATTTCATCGAGAACGTCGGATTTACTTTTCTTCTTCTTTTTCTCAGGTTCTTCTTTACAGTCTACATCCGTGCACATTTTATCCAGAACGGGACGCCTGTTGGAGGCCAGTGCAACGGGCTTGACGCATGGCTTTTTGCCTAAAATTTCATCTAATTCTTCATAAAATGGACATGTCTTGGCCTCTGCACCGGACTGCATATTGTTGTCTTTGGTTTCAGTGTATTTTCGCTTTAACTCTTTCATTTTATTTTTACACTAATCTAAAAAATAATGTGTCTTTTTAAGTGTATTTAGTTCCTCGGCAACTATTTTCCATACATCATCGTTTTTCATTGAAGTGTTTGCGAACAATTCTTGATTCGCAGACCAGAAGTGTATGAGGCTTCTTACAACCAACTGATCTGTCCATATTGCAACTGCAAAACAAAAATGTTATCAGTAAATGCAACATGACAAAATATATGTTTTAATTGATATAATATAGGTAGTAATAATGATAGCAATAAACTGATTTTCACCATTTGAAGCAGTTTGGGTTTTGCTTTTCTTCGGTTGTGAATTGCCTTCAGGTGGAAGAACAGTAGATAAAGTCGAAGGTTGAACAGTAGCAGCTTGTTGATTATCCTCATTTTCTTCTGAGTTGTCGAGAAAAGGACTGTGCTCACAGTCAGTTGTACTGCTCATGCAGGCCTCTGTATCAGGCAGGCAGACCTCGATCAAACTCTGATCTAATGTAACAAAACATTGTATTATATATTGTATGATATATTTCTTAATATTTATATGTACCTTGTACATTTATAGCAATGTTATATCCTCTAACGCTCCGTATCATGTTCCCTGCTACGTCTTTGAGATACACATGCAGGCTTGGATTAAAAACGGGAATCGTAGACATATTTTTTATGCGTCACAAATGCACGCTGATACAATTGTCGTTTAATACTAATTGTGTTTTGTTAAAACAATGATGAAGATAGAATCAGAAGTATCAAACAATAGTGTTTAGTAAAAACCGAGAGATGGCGCCATTCGTTTGGGTGAAAAGGGTATAGTCTGAAAGATGTTGTTACAAAAGAAGAAATAAAACTGCCCATTTTAATTGTAAAATTAATTACTCTATAAAATGAACAATTAATTCGTAATTAATTAATCAGTTTGGAAATTGCAGTCTAAGTCTCATTACTTTCAGACTATTCTGTAATAATAATAATAATAATAATAACAAAATGATTTAATTACCTTCGAAATGCAGACTCTACACTCGTGAACGTGCACCGCATTTCGCAGAATGTGGAAGGCGAAGTGCATCTTGTGATTATCGAAAATTTGACCGGCCTTTTCAATTTCTTTGCACGTTACTTGTATGATGACATGTATCAGCGCGAGCGTATTTGGCGTTTTCCTTATAATCCACTTCCCGGTAATATCGTCGTTAATGTTAAAGACTGTGCGGCTAAAAAATTACAACGCAATTTAAAAAGATTGCATATTATATATGTTCAACAGAGAAATTGTATACCTTTCTCAAAGTTATTAATCATAATTAAATAAAGTGTAGGTTTTTAAACGTAATCTTACCAACGTTACATTTCGTTGTGAATGTCGCTAGCAATTTTAAAGCAGACGTTGACACTGTTTTATTTAACGCTATTCAGGCCCATAACTTGTGCACCACGTCCGCTAAGCCCTCTTTCGTCAGGGTTTCTTTAACACGTACATCTCCGCACATGAAGTTCATCAGAGGTATGAAGGTACAATTCACATCGTGCAACAAAGGATGAGTCTGTGCAATAAAAATAAGATAGTTTTTTACAAATTCATACAGGAAATTATGATCGAAATTCCATATATTAAAGTCTTTCCCTGCCTTTTTCTCCACTTGCTTTTTGTAAAGCTCAAACGGTTGAAGATTCAGCTCGACATACAATTCTTTTAGGATCATCAACGCGGTCTCGGGAAGATTACCCCGTATGCCGCTCGCTTTGCCTTCTTCGACACGCATAGTACATTAGTAAGGGCACCTACAATAAGATCTTTATCCTCCGATTGTTTGCTGCTCTTTTTGGATTTCGTGTAACTATGAGCGATGAAAAGATGCAGTAACAGTTCACATAATTCGCCTCTTATGGTAGTTTGTCCTTGATCTGGTAGCTGATCGTCTTTCGTACGCAAATCTTTCTCGCTTTCGTTTGATTTTCTTGAATGCTCATTCGCGTCTCTTATTGATAATTTGTTGACGTTCGATATATCTCGCAAACCACTTTTTGCTTTCGATCGAGACATGTGCCACATTAGTATTGAGCACGGTTTGTAATAGAAAGGTACCGCTTCTTCCCAAGGAATCTTTTTGAATCTCGTGGGACAGTAGAAAAGCTAAGGCACTAATGGCGCTCATTCTCAGATCTGTCGTAGTCCTTTATCGCAAGACAAATGGAAGCCAGGACCGTTTCAGGCCCGCACAATTATAACGCGCTTTGAATGGCTTCTTGAATGGGAAAATTTTGATCCTCCGTTAACGAAAGCACAGCCACGAAGTTGTAGATTTCCGTCCAAAGTCTGTTACGCAGATATATCAGGTGCAGTTCGGCAGACTCTAAGGAGATTAATATATGGAACGTTGTTTAAAAAACAAATTATACATTTTGTGACGAATAAATGTTCAAATACATACAGTATAAATCGATATTTAAGAAGCAAAATAGAATATAAAGCGAGTCCGGGGAAAAAAGTACAACGGCTGCGTACTTGTTGCTATGCGTGATGCAATTTGTTAAAACTGTGCAGATGCTGATGTACATTTCCAGCGTATCAGAATAATGACTCAGACTCTTCCTTCCTGCTCCTGATATCCTTCGAAATCTTAGTCAAACACCTTAAAACGAGAGATCAAATGAGACAATATAGGTGAAAAAAAGATAATCCAGCGTTATAGATTTTTCTACATACATACATACCCGAATAAATACTTATATATCATAGAGTTATTAGTCATAGAGTTATTTAGTCATAGAGTTGCAGTTTTTGAGGATGTTGCAAAACGCGATACACGCTTGTTCTCTCACTAAACAAAATTCGTCCCTGCTTGTGATGCACTGAAGAAGCAACTTCTGTAGTGGCTTTGGCATATCAGATAAGAAAAGTCATTGACGAGGTATTTTGTGACAATGACGATGACGACGACGAAAGTGATGATAAGGTTGAGATAATGCTTGCAACGGTGATGCACGAAGAAAAAGAAGTGAGTCCGAAGCCAGCACGATGCCAAAATTTTGTTGAACTCGTTGTGCCAAGATTTACTTTTAAACAGTTCCCTGTCTGCGCCAGCATTCGAAAGATTGTTAACTCTCGTTGCTCCTCTCTCTCGCTGCTCTCACTTCGGCCTCTATTGCAGCTTCCTTGCCGATGTCGATGGTCTTCTTCCCTTCCTTCTCCTCTTTTTCCTTGATGAGTGTTGTGCCTGAATGATAATATAGATTTTATATATAAATCCTGTATTAATCCAATTTTGTATACATCATTTCAGAGTAGCAATTACTTTTGGGTTCCTCGTGTTTCGGCTTTTTGGCTGGTGTGGGTTGATCTTCATCGCTGCTTTCGCTGAAACCCGACTGACATGCTGGTTTTGTAGCACTAATCGTGTCCGGAGGCGTTGATATCATCTTGTCTACATCTTGACGGCCAACAAGATCATCCGGCCTTTCCCAAACTGATATCCTCGAAGGATTGTAAAAAAATACCCGTCCGTCTCCAGTCCAAACACACCTTCACATACAAATATATGCGCTAGCATCAGGCGGTGTGGCATCCCAAAGGGTTCTGCTCCGATTTACGTTGCAATCGGATTACCAAACTGATTTGGCATTCTGTGCTGCATAGGGATCATATTTGGCGGCGATTGCATTATGTTCGTATTCACTGCCGGTGTATTTATCGGTGGCATATTGGTAATTGTCGTAGGTGCTGTAATTTCTCCAGTCTTCCATCACAAACATAAATTTCCGTACTTCAGTTTTTTTTTAGCCTCGTATTACATGGAAATTTTTGTTTTTTTTTTTGTAAAAGTGTGTAGTATCTTGAAAAGCGTCAAAGTGTACTGCCACGTAAGTTGAAATACAGTATCACTTAATTGTTTGTATAATTACTACTTCATCATAGAACACGCGAAAGTATATACTATATTTTTGTATATATGTGCTATACATGTACTACATTTTTTTAGTGGTACAAACATGGATATGGGAGTTATTGCATCTTCTGTAGTGGCTTTGGCATATCAGATGAGAAAAGTCATTGACGAGGTATTTTATGACAATGACGATGACGACGACGAAAGCGATGATGAGATTGAGATAATGCTTGCAACGGTGATGCACGAAGAAAAAGAAGTGGGTCCGAAGCCAGCACGATGCCAAAATTTTGTTGAACTCGTCGTGCCAAGATTTACTTTTAAACAGTTCCAAGAGAACTTTCGTATGTCTGCGCCAGCATTTGAAAGATTGTTAACTGTCATTGCTCCTCTTTTGGAAAATCGCACAGGAACTGGCAGACCGACAACAAAAATCGAAAAACAGCTATTAGCTGTTGTGTGGTTGCTCGCAACGCCCGATTGTTTTAGGTAAGCAGAAAAGTTGAATTACATAATTTTTTAGCCTTGTCTCCTATATTGTCATTTTTTCTCCGATCCTGTCGTATATATTGTTAATATTATACCTCACGTTTAACTTCATAATTCTCGATCTCATAACAGGCTGAAAGTTATAATGCACATATTTCTTTTGCAGATCTATCGGAATGAAGTTCGATATGTCAAAATCAACCCTTCATTCCTGCTTTCGAAGAGTAAGGGCTCAGTCACAATGAGAAAAATAAGGAATAAGATAAAGGAATAAGGAATAAGGGAATGTCGCATCTCACTTCAGTACATGTACATTAAAGTGAGATGCAACATGCCTTATTCCTTATTCCTTTATCTTATTCCTTATTTTTCTCATTGTGACTGAGCCTTAATAGTTGCTCTTGTTTCTATATCTCATAGACTCATTACTTGGCCTACAGGCGAAAAGTTAGAAAGGACTGTTCAGAAGTTTACCGATATTGCTGGTATGGCGGGAGTGATTGGTGCAATAGACGGTTGTTACGTTCCCATTGATGCACCTCAAGTAAGTTTAACTTGTATTCTAATTTGCTACTTACAGAGTATTATAAGTTAAAAAAATACCATGTAAAATTTTTAATATTTGTTAGGTTGATGCACAATATTATCGAACCAGAAAATGTGAGTACGCAATAACCCTTCAAGCGGTATGTGATCCTGAGTTGCGATTCACCGACGTATTTGCTGGCTATCCTGGGTCTGTGGGAGATCTCCGAGTATTTCGGAATTCTCCATTATACAGAGATACTGAGGCAAACGTTCAAAATTTTTTCCCCAATGGTGAATATATAATTGGAGATAAGGCCTATAATCCTCCTTTGCCTTGGTGTATTTCACCATATAAAAATATAGGACACCTAACTGCTGTAAATTAGTCTTTTTTTACTTTGCACGTAGCAGTTTAAGAATTCTTCGCCTTACAATAATAACACATATTAATTTTAGATACAAATCTCGTTTAATACCATTCTAAGTAAAACGAGACAAACAATTGAAAGAACTTTTGGATTACTGAAAGGACGCTTTCGACGCTTAAGACATCTCTCCATGGTCTGCTACGAAGAAATCCCAGACACCATACTGGCATGCTGTGTTCTACACAATATATGTCTACAGCAGGAGGATGATTTCCTCGAGCTGTATATTGAAGAAGGATTGCCTTTTGTTTATGGGAACGAAGGTGACGAAATAGGGCAGTATGAGCCTGCAGGAGAAACAGGCGGCGCGAAACGTGATCGTCTGGCTGCTGCATTAGCAAACCATTGATGTATAAGTAAGTAATTTCCGACCCTCACCGATGTAATCGATTAATTTGTCTCCGGTCACTCTCTCCTTTCTTCGCAGCATCATTTCGCTCCTGGCACTTCCCTGACCGAGAATCACGTCTTCCAGTCGCAATCTTTTAGTGCTTTCTTGCCTTTGTACTCGAAAGCTGCGGTGGCAATATTCAGTACTTGCAGCAAGCTCAAAATACATGTCGCGCTGAGTTCGGAACACCACTGTGCTAGAGCGGTTCGTTCTAATCCCTTCAGCACCTATAAGGTACACATTAATACATGTCGAGTAGCTTCGGAACTCAGAGATACACGGCACTGATTGCCCGCGGTGTCCGCCGACATTCCGCCAGTAATAGCTAATGCTACCGATTGCGTGATCGATCCGGATTCATCCGGATAAACGCTTTTGTCTTTGGAGTCTCAATGATAAAGCTGGGGTAAGGCATCCATCAAGTTACTAAGTAACGGCAGATATAGCGCGGCAACCCTAGCCTTCGCCGCAGGATCGGAATATCGCGGATCAGCATCGTGGCAGCTCATAAGATGTCGGACAGTCCCAATAGCTTTATTCTGTAGCATCGGATTTTGTATCTCCAAGGTGTTTGCCAGATCGGACAGAACAATGCCAACCAGAAAGTGTTGCTGCCTGAATTCTTGACTGAGTTCCGAAAACCGGGCTCTATCCCCAGGCACGAGAGTGGATATCAGACTGCCTGAACTGCCTGTCAATGGACTTGGCAATGCCGGAGCCGATCCCGACGTATAACCAGTGCCAAAGGGAAGATTCAATGCTACATAGTGCTCGTGCGAGCACACCGTTCTCACGAGATCGAGTTTCAGAGCGAATAACGCTGCGGAGTCGAGAATATGCATTGACGCGAGCAACAGGCGGCGCGAACGAGCGACAGCACGAATCCTCTGTTCATCACGGATAGCAGGTCGGATAAGAAATTGCCAAGGCTGGATATCAAGTTGGACGCCACGCGGATTTCCTTGCCGCAGCGCGATATCACCTCGGACGTTAACGCAGCGGTGAGCGTCGCGACATCGTCGCAGAACTGCGGTGAGAATCTAATTTTTCGCAGTGCCTCCAAGGACGCCATCTCAGACAGCGTGACAACCATCGAGCGCATTATCAGCTCCAGGAAGAACCAGGAATGAGTTATCGCCAGTTCGCGTGCCTGACCGGTGGATACAACCCAGTGCAAGGCAAGTTCCTCGTGTAGAAGTCTTCTGGTGAGATGATTGTTGATCGAGGGGGATTCCTGTCGCATCGACGCGGTTCTGTCCAATCCCCGCGAGTGGATTTCCATCTCCAGATCTTCCAGAGGCAGATCGGGATTGCTCTGTGCTCGCACGACGCCCCCGTTGTGAGTCATGCTCGGCAAAGAGCATTAATACGCGATGTAGGTGGCCAATAGCGCGTGTCTTCCATGCGCGTCTAATTGACCATCCGGTAAATTGGTGATATTTCGTACGAGCGACTGTCCCAGAGCCTCGAAGATGGTGGCGGCAACGTTCAACGATTGAGACGGTAATGTTGGCGGTCGCACTAGAAGACACAGTAATTGATCCAGTAATTGTGGAAGTGATCGCACCAAGGCGGAATGTGAGGCACGCGCTAATTCGAGAAGAGCTGATTTTAATTCTGATTCCATGCCCGCTTCGCCGATACGAGGCGGAACTTGACCGGTTTCCAAAAAGCCGCATAATGATAAAAATCTGTAATATGAAAATTATTAAAAAAATTATTACATATCTTTTTATTCGTTTTTTATTCCCACAAAGAAAAAAAATAATACATTATTACCTGTCAATATATTTGTCTTGCGGATGAACGCTGGAAACAGGCTCCAATATAACAGTGAAGACCCCTCGATGAGCATCCACCCATCGAGTGCCTGGCAAAAGAACATCGGGTGCAATGTAGGAATAATTTGCGGGTGGCGGATCTAGCATAGCAGGCAAACTGAATTCGCCTGATTGGAGATGACCATCTCTTAGAAGCAGTAGCCACTACAAATAAAATTTTACTATTTAGTTCATCAATCAAATTACCAAGTCCTAATTTTATTAATTACTGATTGAAATTTACTGTATATGCGACCGCCATTTCGACGTTTGGTTGCTCTGCTTTCTTCTGGCAACTAATATGATAGAAAGTGAACAATAAGTGATGTTTTGCACTTAAATCCGCGGGTAGTCTCATCTTGATTTCGTCGTAAAAATTCGGATTCTTGTTGTGGTATGATACGGAAGTAAAATATTCGTGCGTCGTCTCAGGACACGATGATCTGCCGAAGATAGCTGTAAGCGCGTCGGCTTCTTGCTCACCTCCCATAAGTTGAATTCTTACAGCGATATTACGGGCTGAGCCAGTTCTGGAGCTGAAGTTTGCTTCCTACGCATAATAAAATATAATTTCTCATGTCGTAGAATTAATAAGAAATAATTGATCGTACAATTTTATTCGATATGCACCTTGGGTAAAAAGTTAATTTTTAAACTTTTAACCCAAAGATTAATGTGATAGGTTAATGAGTCACTTATGTATTTTACATAACCTTAAAGAGTAGCGCGCCCAAAGTTAATTAATTAACTTTTTACTCGACTTTAACCCGACATAACCTGTCAAACCGTTAAACTTTAACTTATTTGAATACCCCTTAGATGCCAGTTTTCCAAAGAAGACTGCATACCGTGGAAGAAAATCCTGATATACTACTACTACCGCTCTTGGATAAATTACGAGAATAGGAAGTAGAAGTGGCATTTCACCCAGAAATAATTGCATGCTGCATTAGTGCATTTAAAAGGACATTAATAAAAACAATAGGAAAATAAGAAAATAATGATTAATATTCAGTTGCGAGAGTAGCTCGGAAATCGA